TACATAAAACTCTCTTATACATGAGTTGCTGTGGATTTGTTTCTCTAAAGTACGTAGACTAATACACCCTGTCTTATTCATTCTTTGCTTTTCTTCCATGTATACTTCCACTCTAAAGGATTGCGCCCCTCTCTCTATCCCTGACCTTTAAGGAACTTGCTGCTTCTGGGTTAGGCGATCAGCTGTGGACCAAAGCATGACCTCCCCCCATATCTATTCAAAGACTCAAATTCACTATCATCTAGCCAAGGCCAACTCATAACAACACTACAGGGCAAGATAAAACTGCCCTTACCTGTTTCTGAGACTGTGATTCTTTGTGGAAGTAGAAAGCCCAGTCTTTCTCCTGAAAGGTCACTGGTGGTTTCGAACTGCCAACCTTTTGACTAGTAACCGAGTGCAAAACCACTCCTCCCCGGGGTTCCTTCCCATACCTGCAGATCTAGTGTTGGGGGGTTTTTGGTTGTTGTTGGGGTTTTTTTGTTTTTTGTTTTTTAAGAGTCTTTTTATTAAGATAAATCCAGTTACATTTTTTGATTCACATATTTGTATAATTAAAACTGCCCTTCCAAAATAAACATCTGTAATCTTTTCAAAATGAAATTTTAATTTATTTTTTCCAAAAGCTTATAATCAAGTTGTATTCAGAAAAGGTCATTTTTATTTTAGTATTAAATTAAGATATTTCACATTCTTTATAAAAGCAATTTAGAGAACTGCAAGAAACTTAGAGGATACATATTAACTGGAGTGAAAGGGAAGGCAAAAAATAAATTTAAATGAAAAAAGAATGTTGGATGAAATTCTTTCTTTTGTGGTCTACCCATGCTGTGACAGTACATATAAAAAGCAAAATTAAAATCCAAAGTTTTAACATGTAATTTACACAAAAATGAATTTGACAAAGCTAAAACATATCACCGCATATTTTATATACTTAACCATTATAATAATAATAAAATGTTATAGATAAAAATGTCATCATAAGAAGTCTATTGTTAATCACCATGAAAATTCTCTGTCATTCAAATATGCTAAAGTAAAACTGTGTTTGTAAAATATTCGATAAAACATCCATCCTTATGAACATTACGTCATGGGTGTATGTCTTACCAAATTACAAAGCTCTATAGGGCAGCTTTAAACAAGAGTCTGAGACTCTTCTTTTGCAGCCTCTTTATTGTTGGCCTCTTTTTTCCCAACTTAGAGCACATTTTTCATCTGCCTTCCCATTTCCCCCATCTTTCTCTTCTTCTTTTCCACCTTCGCATTTAGATTCTCCATCTTTATCCACTTTTCATCTTCTTTAGCATCTTCTTTCCCTTTTCTGTTTTTTTCCATCTTCTTTCTTTTTCCCCTGAATTCTTTGACACTTTTTTACCTTCTTTCTTTTTTTCTTTCTCTTTTTCATCTTCTCTCTCTCGCTTCCTCTCTGCCCCCTTTTCATCTCCTTCCCTTTTATATCTTCTTCCCCTTTTCCATCTTGACCCTTCTATGTCTCTTCTTCTCCTTATCCGTCTTTGTCCTCTCTTCCGTCTTCTCTTGGCTTGGTTTTGGTCTTCGTCTCCCTTCTGTTCTTGCTTTTCTTCTTCTAGTCCTTCTATTTGTTTCTTTTCGCCTTCCTCCTCCTCAATTTTTCGTCTCTTATTCCCTCCATTTCTTCGTCAGGAGCTAGTGTCTCCATACTTTTAGCTTCTCCGTTTTCATTGTTGTGTTCTACTTGAGCAAGTTCTTGTTTGGTTTCAGCTATTGCTTTGGCACTTTTATTCATGGTGTTTTCCCCCCGTCATATCGCCTTTTGTCTTTGTATTCCTTGGAGCTAACCTACTTTTTGACTTCATCTTGAAAGTGATGGGCACAGGCATATCAGACAGTATGGCTGATCTTTCTCTTCCCCTGCCTCATTTCCCCTTGATCTGCTGCCTTTCTTTGGGCCATAGTTGTAGTACTATATAGGAAAAAAATTATTTAATCATTTTATTAGGGGCTCATACAACTCTTATCACAATCTGTACATACTGTACATCAATTGTGTAAATCACATTTGTGTATTCATTGCCCTCATCATTCTCAAAACATTTGCTCTCCACTTAAGCCCCTGGCATCAGCTCCTCATTTTTCCCCTCCCTCCCCCCTTCCCCCTTCCTCATGAACCCTTGATAATTTATAAATTCTTATTTTGTCATATCTTGCCCTGTCCGACGTCTCCCTTCACCCACTTTTCTGTTGTCCGTCCCCCAGGGAGGAGGGTATATGTAGATCCTTGTAATCGGTTCCCCTTTTCTACCCCACCCTCCCTCCACCCTCCTGGTATCACCACTCTCACCACTCGTCCTGAAGGAATCATCTGTCCTGGATTCCCTGTGTTTCCAGTTCCTATCTGTACCAGTGTACATCCTCTGGTATAGCCATATTTGTAAGGTAGAATTGGGATCATGATAGTGGGGTGGGGAGGAAGGAAGCATTTAGGAACTAGAGGAAAGTTGTATGTTTCATCGTTGCTACATCACACCCTGACTGGCTCATCTCCTCCCGAGATCCTTCTGTAAAAGGATGTCCAGTGGCCTACAAATGGGCTTTGGGTCTCCACTCCGCACTCCCCCCATCATTCACTATGGTAAGATTTTTTGGTCTGATGATGCCTGATACCTGATCCCTTTGACACCTCGTGATCACACAGGCTGGTGTGCTTCTTCCATGTGGGATTTGTTGCTTATATAGGAAATCTTAACAGTATAAAAAAACCAAGTAGCAAGTGAGTTTTCAATGAACTAATTGCAGCACAAACTGTACATTCCTCAGAATGGGGGGATCAGGGGTGGAGTTGGGGGTGGACATCTGGTTTTATTCTTTCTCATGTACTCCTGCCTTACGTCTCCAGTTTTCTACTAGTCATGTACTGATTCCTTACTTCTTTGCTACTTCAAATCCAACACACCCAAAATGAACCTTGTTATTTTCTCCCCCATAATCAGGGCTGCCTGGGTCCTGCCTAGATCATTTTTACTGCTGGCCTTTGTAGCTGCTGGGGATGTTGGCTGATAGTCGCATGTTGCTACCACTTGTCAGAAAAATTTCCCTGTGCCAAATAGGAGCCAAGCCACACACCCATTTATATTTTTGGATATACCTTGCACAACAACAGCTTCACACAAGAGTACCAAAAACCAATCTCTTTGCCTCAAGGTGGAATAAATCATGTGGTGTGGATTATGCACCCAGAACATCCCACAGGGTCACACTGAAACACCACATCCTTATGAGCTTCTGCTCCTTTCCTACCTGTCTATAGAGGTTTGAGTGTTGCTATGAAACAGAACAGGTTCAGTAGAGCTTCCAGACTAACATGAACTAGGAAGAAAAAGCCTTGCCATCTACTTCCAAAAGTCAGCAGTGAAAAACCATAGGGATCGTGACAGCCTGGTCCACAACTTATCAGGGAATGGCACAGGACCAGGAAGTGTCATACAAGGGGTGACCAAAAATCACCAGATTGTTTTTTTTCAAGGCGATGTATTTCTTTCTCTTTCTTCTTCTTCTTCTTTTTTTTTTTTTTTTACAAAACAACCTTATCACCGTCAAAGTACTCTCCATTACACTTGTCAAATCTGCTATTCCTTTCCTGGAAACATTTTTCAAACTCATCTGTTTGGAGAGCTGAAAGCACCTCCCTCTGTTTTTTCTTCCCCTCTTCTGTATCGTCAAACCGCTGTCCTCTCATGTCCCACTACATTTGCAGAAACAAAAAGAAGTCGCACATAGCAAGGTCAGGCGAGGAAGGTGTGTGGGGCAAGAGAGGCATGCTGTTTTTTGCCCCAAACTGGCACACTGAGATGACTGTGTGAGCAGGTGCATTGTCGTGGTGGCAAAAACAGTCCCCCACCTGCCAAAAATCAGGCCTTTTTTTAATTTTTTTTTTGGGGGGGGGGTGTCAGGATCCCTGTTAGTCTTGTGACTATCTGTATGTTTATTTATTTTTTTCTTTTTATTTTAATAAATCATTTTACTGGGGGTGCTTACCTCTCTTATAACAATCCATACATCAATTGTATCAAGCACATTTGTACATGTGTTGTCATCATTCCCAAAATATTTTCTTTCTACTTAAACTTTGAGATTAGCACCTCTTTTGTCCCCTCCCTTCCCCACCCTCCCACCCTCGTGAATCCTGGATAATTTATAAATTATTTTTATTTTCATATTTTACACCATCTCCCTTCACCCACGTTTCTGTCATAGGCCTTTTTTTTTAACAGTTTTATTAGCACTTCATTCTCATGTCATACAATTCAATAATTCTATCATATCAAGAAAAGTTGTACAATTATCACCGCATCCAGTTCTAGAACATTATCTTCTTCCTGGTACTCATTGTTATTCAGCTAATTTTTTTTCTAATTGTGGCAAAAAATATGCACAAACATTTTCTAGTTCCATAATTTCTACATGTATAATTTAGTGCTATTTATTAATTATACTCTTCATGTTGTACAACCATTATTGATATCTTTCATAGGCCTTTTTTTTGTGGCACACTGTTACACTATCTTTCCAGAGCCTCTAAATAGAAAGCTTGATTAACAATCTGACTTAGAATGAATTCCAAATGCACTATTCCCCTCACACCCAAAAAACAAATGAGCGTCATCCTGACCTGTGATTTCACTTGATAACCTTTTTTTGGGCGAGGTGATGAGGGCGTCTTCCACTGGCATGATGGATGTTTGCTTTCTGGGTTGTAGGAATAGCACTATGTTTAGTCACCAGTAATGACCTTTGGGAAAAAGTCTAGGTTGCGTCAGAGCTGGTCTTTCAAAGCATGGCATGTTTCCCGTCAGCACTCTTTTTCCTGGTCAGTCAGAACCTGAGGCACAAATTTCCCAGCAACCCTTCTCATTCCCAATCTTTCATTAAAATTCACTGAATTGAGCACCAAGATAGTCCAGATAACTTCCCAAGTCTCTTCAATGGTCTGTTGCCGGTCTTCAAGCATAAGTGCACAAATAGACATTTTTATACATTCGGGAAGTTGACAAACGTCCAGTTTGCCATCAATTGACATTTCATGTTTTTTGAAACAAGAAAACCACTCGTACACTTGAGTTTTTCCCATAGCACTGTGCTTAGCTGTGTGTTTAACATCACAACAGTTTCTGCAGCATGTGTCCCAAGTAAGAAACAAAATTTCATAGTTGCAGCCTGTTCTCTTAAATCACCCATCACACACACACACAATGAGGTTTGAGCAAAATTGCTTTTACAAGAAATTCAATGTGACTAGAGAGAACCTTCCCAGGTGATGCCACTGTGTGCACTAACTCAGAGCGAGTTGCTCAATGCTCACCTAACAACAACAACAACAACAACAACAACAAAAGTACTATAAAATCTCTGCCAAGCAGAACTTTATTCTGAATTTTTTTTTATATCCCCTTGTATTTTTTTGTTATGGGTTCACCATGAGCCCAGGGGTCAACTCCATGAAAGGTAACAATCATTGTGTCTCCCTTATTCCCCTCCTGAGTCTTCTCCAATAAATCCCTTGTCCCAGGCTCTGATTCTATTTCATCCAAACTAAACCCTATCAAGTCAGATTTATTTCCCAGTGCCCTTTTGCTGAAAGAGGTGGTGTAGTGGGTTATGCACTGGGCTATGTGTTAGGCAGGGTTCTCCAGAGAAACAAAACCAGGACACTTATGATTTATATATATGTATATATGGAGAGGTTTATACAGTGAGAAGGAATATAACAGTTAATTAGTCCACACAGCAGTACCACAAGCTCGGTTCAACTTATTTTCATGGAACAGTTCATATACTGGAATCTTTCAACTCACGTGGGCTGTTAGGTCCAAGGTCAAGAAAGCAGACATCAGAGTCTTCACTCAGGCAAGACAAGCAGTCCACCCATAGGTAGCAGACAGCAGGATGGGTCAGCAACAGTCAGTAGCAAGGGAGCTTAGCAAAGCAGGCCTGATGATATCTCAAACTCAAGCAATGCACAGCAACAGGAGCCACCAGTATGCACCAGCAGCATGGCTAAGGAGGTCTTGAAGGAGCCTCAAGCTCTAGCAACAAGATCCACAGGTTGACTCGGCCCACAGGTGGTACAGCACGCAGGCTGAGGCAGAGAACTAGCTAAGCAGCAGCACCCTGATCCAATCACCAGCGAGCAAGAGCAATGGGGGATTCAGCCATCTTCATTTATCTCAGTAGCCCTCCAATCAAGCTGCGACCTGATCAAACTCCACCCACATGTTCCTATTGACCTAGTTGGCACAATAAACCTATCACAGGCTGCTAACTGCAAGGTCAGTAGTTCAAACCCACCACCTGTTCCTCAGAAGAAAGATGAGACTGTCTGCTCCTGTAAAGATTTACAGCCTCAAAACCCCACAAGGGCCATTCTGCTCTGTCCAATAGGGTGGCTATGAGTTGGAATAGTGAGTTTGGTTTGAGTTTTGTTTACCCCTTGGCTGTGAATCCTGTCTCTCAGTCACCCTATCCTCCAACTTGCCTTTCTCTGATTCTTCTCCTGCATCTCCCTCTTAGGCCAACCTAGTATGTTATTCTAGTAAATGCCTCTCAAGAGGCATTCTTCCTCCTCATTTCCACTACCCTACACAACCACTTCCCCCCTGGGCTGTGTTATCAGCCCCTTTTCTGACCTCCCTGTTCTGTCTTGTGCTTGCTCCCTTCTTTATTATGACTGGCACATTAGGACCAGATTATGGAGGTGGTAATTGTGTACCTTTAAGTCCAACTTGACCCACAGTGACCCGGTCAGGCAAAGTAGAGCTGCCCCAGAAGTCTTCCTAGGCTGCAGTCTTTGCAGAAGCAAATCACTAGGTTGTTTTCCCACAAAGCGGCTGATGGATTTGAACCTGGACTTTTGGGTTAGCAGCCAATGGTTTAAACAATGCACCCCTAGGGGTCCT